AAGCTAGAGCGGTGTGGAAAATTCCTGAAGCTTTTTCTACTTATATTCGACCCACAATCGTTGTTTAATTAGTCGTCAAAATGTACATTGGTGGAGACACAATAACTCGGTATTGAATTTTGCTTCCTTTTTCCACCTTGGACATCTGAAGTATCAGTCATCATACAAATTATTTATGTGTTATGAAGTGATTAGTCTTGAATTGAATCACTACTAGAAAATGTACATGTCTCGACAAGCACTCTCGACCCGGCTCAGGAATGTGTTGGTACTCATGAGGCAGCTTCTAGCTGCCAGTTCCCTGATGCACAACCGCGCTGGAAAAAGTTAGCCGGATGCAAGAAAACTATTACCCAAAACATGTTCTGCACCGACAGAGAGCTTTATTCCAGTGGTAAATATTCGTGTTGGTAAATGTCTGTGATTCAATACTCATAACCCCATATGATAAGCGTAGTAATGGCCCGATATGATAAGATATAATAAATAAAGAGGACTCTGATTAATTATGCCCTTGGTTAGAGAATCTCAAGTTGAGAATTAATAAAATCTTATTGTATTAGTTTGTCACTGGGGACATCCACTGTAGTGGTGTTAGCATCTAAACCTGTAACTTTGTCTACTCCTTTGATACTAAAATATATGAATCGTCAAATCCTGTAATCGCTTTAATATTTATATATTTGAGGTGATTGATCATTTGGGTGTTACTTTGGAATACTGGTGGTAAGTTTTGAATTTGTTTTAAAAGCATATCTTTAGGATTTGAAAACTTAAATAAAGCTCAAGATTGAAGATTCAGATTAAGCGTTAGGTCTAGGTTATTCTACTTAATTCATCCCCAATATTGATTTGTAGTGGCTTGAAGACCAGATTTTGATCATTCTAGAGATTACATTAGATTAAATTAACACTTTATCATGTTGAAATATGATTATAATACTCAGCTAGTTGCTGATATTTCTGCAGATAAAAAGTTTTGGTCGGTGTCACCAGGACTAGATTCTCAACAGTTAAAATTCAGCTTCAAGTTATTTGTTAAGAAAGTTGCAGGCCCTCACAACTGAGGTCATACCTCTGTAATATTTAATTGCTTTTTGAAGAAAATGTGGACACGTGAGAACCTGGAATCTTATTCCTGTAAATGGTTCAAAAAACTAAACCCAGTCGACAAATGTAGAAAAAGGGTTTCTTCGGAAATTATAGACTTTATATATGTTTTAAGTGTAAAAAATTTGGAATGAGAAATTCCCTTCTGTGTAACTCTTAACTGCTTGTACTCTTTCGGCAGATGCTTGAGAATCCGAGTATTGGGATCCAAAGGAAGAAGACAGTCTTCTCGTAGTAAAGATTCTAAGCCTAGATATTCTAATAGATAATTTTCAGAATTCCAATAGTTCAGAATAAAGGGAAATAACATCATGTATTTGAGGAAAAAAGACTCATCCCTCAGCCAAAATTGTTGAACAAGTGGCCGTGGATTCTCTGATTCAATGGCTTTTGAACCGTCCCCCTGGAAAGATGTTCAGTCTATGTGCTACTTTGAGTCAGGAAATTAATCCAGGTGTATAAGCAACTTGTTCCTGGAAACTTCATAAATCAACATGAATGTATCTCGATATTCCGCTTCCTGAACAACCCCAAAATCCTGAGGCAGTCAGCCTGATCACGCAATGGATTGATTCTTTTCTAGTTTACGTTAATTTCATTGTAATTCACAGAGAGAGACGCAAGAGAGACCCCATAGTTTTAAAATGGGTAAAAATATCTCCTGAACTTCTAAAAATTTCCATGAATTTCATCATAAGTTTTCTTTTCAAAAACCTCTTTTACAAGGAAAGTATCTTTCTATTTTGTAATTGAGCATGACTGCTTTTTATGTAATACAAATCTGGATAGAATTTGAGATAGGTTTGACTCCTCACTCAATAAGGCCTTGTTGAATGGGAGGATTACCTCCTCTTATAAACCAGTAGGCTTGAACGTGCCTAATCGGTGTGGGACTCCAACACTCCCTCTCATGATTAAGCTCATATGTTGGGTCATGCCTGTTGATTAAGGTAGTTATCGGCTCTAACTCCTCACTCATTGGTCAAGCACTCAGCTCAACTGAACCTAGACTCTGATACCATGATAAAATTTGAGGTGGGCTTGATTTCTCACCCAATAAGGCCTTGTTGAATAAGAAGATTACCCACTCTTATAAACCAGTAGGCTTGAGCGTGCATAGTCCGTATGGGACTCCAACAAATCTTAAAGATTTCTCCATCTAACATATACACATAAGACACCAAAACTAAAGACCTTGGACTTCACTAAATAGAATTGCCTATCTGGGAAATGATTCAATTTCAACTTACAGCTGCTCTTAATTTGATACAGAAAAGAGTAAAAACACAAGAGACTGCTACCAATCACAACTACATACAAAGCCCCTTTAAATTATAATTCATCTAATGCTAAATTACCAAATAGTCTGTTTGCCCTGAACATGAAGAAAGATAAAAAGTTTCTTACCAAGTAACTGAGTATAAAATAAGCCCATTTCAGGATATATGTGTTTCTATTGGCATTGTTGAATGATTAATGTTGTTGACCTCTCTTGTGTTTTGATGTACCAAAATTATCCAAAAGGTTGATTAATTATTAACCAAAACATGCTAAGGTATGACATACATCATAACTAAACCAAAACAGACTTGTTAGGTGGTATGACCGTGCTTAAGCAGAACTTTCAACAGGTATGACTGTGCGCGATCAAGGCACGCCCGTTTGGTAGAAGAAAACTGCCCAGATGAACGTGCTTCATTGCACAACCTCGTTCCTCGTGATCGTTCATCACTCTGCCAAAATGTGTGGCACCTGCAAGACAGTTCCATTCAAGTCAAAAGTCAAGATTTTCAAATTCATAATCCTTCGCGTTCTTGACTATTCTCCAAAGTCAATTAAGTCAAAACTCATATATCAAAAGAGGCACAACCGTTCCTCTCTGAAGAGTTTTTCAAATTAGATTTCCAGGAAGTCATGGCTGCTTCTAGAAGATCATGTGGATTTGGAAGAGCAATTTGGGTAAGGCTGTTATGCATGGTGGAATGACCATATGATGTCTTCGCACACTCATACATTGCGGTGGAACATCCATTCCAGAAACCCTAGATCTAAGAAATATATCTGTTGTATCAAAAATGACCGTTTGGGATTATGGAACGATCGTTCCTCTGTGTTTGCAAGCTTTATCAGAATTGCATTAAATGAAGCAACAACTAATTTTTTTAAGAGATATAAAAACTCAAGGTTTTTATGCAAAAGAGAAGAGAAGAGTTATATCAAATCAAATAACATTCTCATATAGTCCCTTGAACTCAAAATCCAAATCTCACTTGTACTCACCTTGTAAATCTTTGAGAGAATATTTGTTCTTATTGTGTGTATAAGACTATAGAGAATAGACAATCATTTGCAAACACTTTGATTATAACCTTAGTGGCAAAATCCTGTAAAACTAGGTGCAATCTTGTAAATCTAAGTGTGCGAGGTGAAAATCCTTGTGAAAACTATTGTATTGGTACAATTTGATTCTAGTGGAAATTCAAGGAGGTTGCCTTGAAGAAGTGGATGTAGGAGGCTTGTAGATATAGCTTGAATCACTATAAATCTCTGAGCACTTCTCTCTGTCTCTCTTTCTCTCTCAACATATTTATTACTCTTGCTCATACATTCATCATACATATTTATTGCTCATAAGTTGATTGCATTTATTGTTGCTCACTTGCATTAATTTCAATTTTGTCATTCTTTGGTTGTTGAGTTTATTTATTGAACTTAGATTTGTTTAACTCATCATTTGTTATTCTTGTATAAGATAGTTTAACTCATCATTTGTTATTCAACAACCAAAGAATGGCAAAATTGAAATTAATGCAATTGAGCATACTTGATTTGTTGCTTATTTAGATGATTGAGGAAGACATTAATATCCATTCGATTAGTGTAGTGACGTTGTCGAATCTGATCACTCAATTCTATAATAACTTTTTGATTCTCCTCATCCACTTCATTTGTAACTTGCAATTCATTGACATTGGGAGTCCTAACTTTGCAATACTTAAAATAATTAACAATTGTATGTGGTTTCACATCAATTGATCATGCATCAACTACATTTACAATTCCATCAAGGACACTTATCTTTGTTGGTTCCAAGACACGATCTTCTATCCGTTTCAAAAGTAGACAATTGAAGCACTGAATTGAAATCTTAATACTACTAAAGCATTGATTGAAATCATAATACTGTACTAGTAAAACATGAATTATAAAATCAAAAATCAAAACAACAATTTTTGTAACTACATCTCTATTAAGTTATAATCTCTTAATAATAATAAAATTAGTTGGTCCCACCATTATGACTATAGAAAGGTTTTACTGTATATATATTTGACATGACATTCTAAAACGGCCAAACAAACAAAACTCATGTCTTGATGGTCATCATTTTTTAGCCTTTCGGGGTCGTTTCAAGAGGTTTTTGGACGTTTTATGATTTTTAGGGTTATTTTTGTGAGTTTCAAGATGTTTTGGTATTGTTGGGTGATAATTGTTTAATTTTCATTTCCTTTGTTTGTTTGGATTAGGATTTTAAGGGGGAACTATATAAAGGTTGTTTCAACCTGAAGGACTGCAGTTTTTTTATTATTTTATACTAATGAATTACTAAAAACCCTAGAGGGTAGTTTCAATTAATTTATTATCCTAAACTTAATACAATTCGGTGGTGGTTATCGTATCCTTGTTCCCTATGTTCAATCATCTCTTGATTGTTTCGGCATCAATATATATATATCAAGGGAAAATTACTTAAATAACTCATTTTAGTATTTACTGATCGGATAATTTAAAATTTATATATGATTTTTTGTAGAAGGAAAAACCAAAGTTTGTTTACCATCATTTGGGCCGTGGGCTAACTGCTCCAAACCCGACTTAAAATAAGAGGAAAACCCTAGATCAAACGGCCCAAAACCCTTATAAAAACAGCGTCATTAAAAACCCTAGCTTCCATTTCTTCTCTGAGCATCTCCGCCTCTTGCACTCTCTTCCTCACACACTCACACACAAAACACGAACCCAAAATGGTTGGTCTCTCTCCCTCTCTATCTTTACGAACATTTGAACGGCGTAGTTTTGTTTCTGATATTATTTTGTTTTGTAATTTCAGCCTTTCAAGAGGTACGTGGAGATCGGGAGGGTCGCCCTCGTCAACTACGGCAAAGACTACGGCAGGCTTGTTGTCATCGTGGATATCATCGATCAGAACAGAGTAAGCTTTTGCTTCCTGTGTATTTTTCGTAATATTACTTGTATTAAGTTTAAGATTTATTTATCTGTTTAAGTGGTTTGTGGTTTTGTTTATGCAATACTGTTGTGTACTCAGTTTTAACTAGGGATTGATGAGTCAATGTTATTAACTCTCTTTAGTAAGAGTGGATTTTGAATTGTGATTGTAAGACTCTGTTAACTGTATCATGAAATATTAATACCTCTTTTAGAAGCATAAGAACAACCGATGCTTTGCCCGAATTTGTAATATGGCTTTTTCTTTTAGTGCAATTTAGTGTTTGACGGTTTTGCATTGTGTATCAAAATGAAGTTTAGCTTTGTTAACTTCTTTATTATTCTTATATGCTATCTTTGTATGTTTGGTTAACTGTTAGATAAATTCTCCTTGATAATTATATTCCAGTCGGTTTAGAAGGTTGGACTTTAATAATTATTACATTGTTGAGTAGATTTATAGCAATGTTTAAGAAAAGCTAAGTTAATTTTACTATCCTACATTAAATTTAACCTCTAGGGTTGTCCTTGAGTTTGATTATGTGATGTGTTTATTTTGAGCAATGTAAGTTTTGTCTGAATTTGTTTTGGCTTTAGTTACTATTATTTCTGTTTTTTGATGACTTGGGTTTGTGACAAGTCTCTTTATGTGTTTCCACTTGCCCGGTAATATCTTTTATGTCACGGAATTTTGATGAATGTGCCAATTTCACTGATTTCTGACTTACAATTCTTGTTTCTTCAGTCTGTAGAAATTATTACTGGATATTTGTAACACAATATCTTGTGGATTGACAGGCTCTTGTTGATGCCCCTGATATGGTGAGAAGCCAGATGAATTTCAAGAGGCTTTCACTAACTGATATCAAAATTGACATCAACCGTGTTCCAAAGAAGAAGACATTGATTGATGCCATGGAGAAGGCTGGTAGGGACAATAATTTTTGTAGGAAATAATGTTGTTTCTGTTTTGGTAACTTCAGTTGATTTTGTTGTGTTTCTGTAATGTCAGATGTTAAAAACAAGTGGGAGAACAGCTCCTGGGGCAGAAAGTTGATCGTCCAGAAGAGAAGGGCAGCTCTTAATGACTTTGACAGGTTCAAGATTATGTTGGCTAAGATCAAGGTCGGTGACATTGCTCTCTAATATTTAGCTGCTTGCCTATGATTTTTATGCATATTTTTTATACATAAAAGTTTCCTTTATTGCCTCACAATCAACTTAGTGGGGGGTCTTTAGTCATTTTTTCTCAGACCTAGTAATATACTTTTGTATTAAATACTATTTGCTTGAGACATTTGGACCGAGTTAACAGACCTTGTTACCTATTTGCAGAAGGGAGGATTGATCAGGCAGGAGCTTGCAAAGCTGAAAAAGGAGAATGCTTCCTAAGTGTTGTCTGATATGTAGGTCCCAATTTTCTTATCAGTGTTCTTCAAGATGTTATCTTGGAATGTTTTCCATTAATTTTGAGATTAAGACAAGTTTAAGGAGACAATTTTTACTTTTATGATATTGTAGTCAGTGCAATTGGTAGATTTTTACCGTGTGCATGTTTGTGTTACTTTTTCGATTATTTTACATGGAGTTCTTTTTTGGCACTGTATGTCTTCATTCAATATGCTTGTGAAAGTGAGATAGAAGCTAGCCAATCATTTGGCCAGTTTCTTAGATATTCTAATTACTATCAATTATAATGATTAATGGGTATTTGTTCAGGCATATTCAGTGGTTCTCAAAATTCTGACCTGTATAACTCTATGACAATGTCCTCGTTTACATTAGAATTTACTAATTACTAGGAATCCCTGTCTTGGCCACAAATGAACCGTGGTGGATTTGAAGTTTGATCTGGATTCGAACTCCTGAATGTTTATCTGATGTTTTCAATGTCTCTGTGTACCTCTCATCCTGATATGGCAAACTTTCCTTCTTGGGAATACACCGAATGTGCTTCTTGAGTTTTACCAGTTTCTTATCTTCTTTATAACTCATAACCCTTTTCTTCTGTGTCAAGATATAAAGGGACTTAGTTTTTTTATTGTGTTTAAAAGAATTGTTATTGAAGATGCAGGGAAATGAAGGCAATGTTAATCTGTTGGGCAACTAATGAAAATAGGTATTGTTTTAATTCATAGAAACTAGTGTTGTGTTGGTGATTCGGTGAAAGATTGTTAGACAACTGTACCAATCTTGTCATTTAGACAACCCAGATCATCTTAAATTCTTAATGTCTCCTTCTTGGGATTAGACAATGCTGTATGGGAAGTATTTCATTTGCATATTATCAATTTGACCATGCGAGTATGGAGACATCTTCCACCATTGGCAATTATAGGGCGAAACTGGACACCCCTTATTTTAATTGGCCATGGCCTTCTGTAACTCACCTGAGTCTCTATGACTGTAGGTTTCTAATAACGATCACATAAATGCTGAATTTCTCAGTAACAAATAATTTACTAGTTTCTTGATCCAAAACCAACATTAAATATATAAGAGACATCATATAACAAATTTTATCCAATCCAATACTGACTGAGAAATCATAAAGATGTTAAATGTATCTGCATTATGTTGGTGAGAATCCACATTGGATGGTTGAGGCAACTTGAATTTTATAGTGAAGATAATGGCACCATCTGGTATCCTTTTTTTTTTTAGATTAAATCATATTCAATGTCTTTATGCCACTTTCTATACGCCATCATTTTTAGTTGTTGTTTTTGCAAGACTATAAATGACCCTCTTCAAGGAGGAGACCAAGACCAAGTCCAAGATTTATATTTATTCTATATTTCTACCAAATATTATCTTTAATGTGCATTTTTTTTTTTAAATTTATTTCCAGTTATAAAATCCACACTTCCACAAGGCATGGAGTTTCCAGGGACTGAATCGTCTTTCAAACAAGTGTTCTGCACCTGTCAATACATAATTGACTCCAAATTCTGAATATCCAAGACTAAATTTAACTGTGCTTTTCTTTAATTTTCCTTTCATCTGTACAAGAAATTTGCTACTTCCCAGTTATTTAATAATATTAATTACGATGCATTTAAAATGTTTTTATTGTTAATCAAATTATTTTCTCTAAAAATGCTTCTGTTGTGTTCCTTCAAAAATAATTCAGAAAAAAACTTTAATTTTCTGCATTTTTACAAAAAAAAAAATTTTAAATATTTTTTGTTATAAAAGCACTTTTCCTTTCTTTCAAGCAAACATTATAAAATAAATAAAAAATTTATATATTGACCATTGCGCTGCTTTATTCTGACCACTATGTTAAAACTTGGTTTCAATTCAACCCACTACAATTTATTGGAGCCCCAGATCCAAAATATATGTCCAATATTGACGCAAAAGGAACTCAATTTAATAAATTTACTTGTATTACAAACTATATATATGCTGGTTTATAAATCTAATTTGTAATTAATTTATTAACTTGTTAAATGAGTTAAAGCTCAACTTTCCCATTTACAATCTATTAGCAATTGAAATTAATCTAATAAATAAACACACATAATGAATTTTCTCATCCAAAATATTTCAAAATACCATTTTTTCACCCAAAGTTTATATTCTGTTACTATTCAAAGCCGATTTGGTGGTTAAAATTATCTCCATCACCACCATTCGAACCTCCGATTTCCTATATGCAAAACCCTTCTCACTTCGACACTTGATTTCTCATCAATTGCCCATCATTACAAAGTTAGAGTTTCTTGTTCTTAGTTGATTTTCGACTGATTTTGGCGATGAATATTCAATTGACCACCACCATTTAATCAATCAGCCTCTACTCTATAAAATTTTTCTTATCTTAGCTGTTAAATGCCGACTAAAAAAGTGAAATGTATTTTGAGTATTAACACTTTGAGTGGAAAAGTGGTATTCTAAAACTTGTTGAGTTTCGAAAAAGTAGTTTACTGTATACATTATAGGTTGTATGATATTGTGTTTTTTTCTTGGAATTTGACCGTGTCAACAAATAAAAGGTGTGAGAGGCATCCTCTTCCATGCTGCTTTCATTGATTGACTTACAAAATTCGACAAGTAATTTAAAGCATGAAAGATAAAAATAAGCAATACTGAAATTGTTGGTTGTCAATTTCAATTGGTAGAACTAGAAAATCTAACCAAACAAGGAAAGTCTTAATTTTCCATGATGTTTCGTTACATATTTATTATGTTCAACACATACAATAAAACCCCATAAATTCTTTCATTAATTACATTAACCTAAAAATAAGGCTTCCAGAGAAGAGTCTCAACATCTTAATTTATACCTTGTATTGATTTCAAATATCTCTCTCTCCCTCTTCCTTTCTTTAACTTATTACATAAACAACACTACCCACCTTTTAATTTTCAATATTTGATTTTTTCCAAGAGGTTCCAAAGATAAACATGGGACTCAGGGATCTTAATCTCAAACTTAAGGTAATCTTTTTTTTTTTATTATTATTCATTTTTCTATTTTCTTGTGTTTCTTTCATTAAGAAAATGCGTAAAGTTGATCACTTTGTTTGATGAACTGTATTAGAAGAACAAAGAGATTGATTTTTTTTTATTTTTTTTAATTAGAAAGATCAAGAATGATGTACATGAAACTACTTGTATTTTGTGGTTGTGTACTTTGACAGGCATTTAGGCTGAGGCGGTTTTTGATAGGTGTCAGTGGTAGGAATAAGAAAAGAAATGGTGAGACTAAAAAGAAGCCTTCTTGGATGGTGCCGATCTCTCATGGGTATCATGTTGTTGGAGATAACTCATTTAGAGGTGGTGGTTCGGATGAGTCAGACTCTGACTCGGTTGTGGTACAAAGAGAGCAAATTGAAGAGATTGAGTTGTGGTTTTTTGGAGTTTTTGATGCTCAAATTGGTGATGGAGTTACCAAATACATGCAGTCCCATTTCTTTGATAGAAATCTCAAAGAGGTAACTCTGAATCATAACATATATAAGTCTTGTTTAAGATTACTTTATTCAAATACAAATGGCAATCACAATAAATAATCAGAAATGTTTTAATAGGTAACCTGCCATAATCATTATAGCTTTGTAAATGAAGTTTGATTGAATCTCCAAAACTCAATGTCCTGGCTTGTGGGTTGCAGTCTCAGATCAGGAGAAAAAGCAAAGAAACAATGAGAAAAGCATATCTCGGAGCAAGAGCAAAAGTGAGAGAAGCACAGAAAGAAGATGAGACATGGAGAGTGGGTTCGGCATCTGCGATGGTGATCAATGGAGAAAAGCTTGTCATAGCTAACATGGGTGACTACCGAGCTGTTGTTTGCAGAGATGGTGTGGCTCATCAGATCAGTAGTGGTCCTACTGGACATCAACAAACTGCCAAAAGACATTGGACTCGAAGACTTTTCTCTGGTAAGAACACTTCAAACTCCAATCAATTAATTGCTTTATGACGTGCCATTACCACTATTATTTTCAATGTATCTGATATTAAAATGTATTACTTGTGACTAAAGTACGCATATTAACCTGCAACAGGCGTTAAGCACTCGAAAGGCACAGAACTTTCAGTTAAGGCTGAAAAGATTGACTCTGATACTGAATTTGTCCTGATAGCAAGCACTGGCATATGGGAGGTAAAAACACTCCCATCTTTTTTCTTCTTTTCTCTCCAAGAAATAAAGAGAATGTGTTAAATTGTATGTATAATGTTGTGCAGGTGATGAAAAATCAAGAAGCAGTGAATCTTGTAAGTCACTTGGAGGATCCACAAGAAGCAGCCGAGTGCTTGGCAAAGGAGGCATTAACTAGAATGAGCAGAAGCAAAATTTCTTGTCTAGTTATCCGCTTTGATTAATACAAGATTTTGGCAGCGATTATTTAGGTGTGGGCAATAATAGATTATGGAGTAACGATAATCAACATTTAATGTAATGCGAGATGATCTTTAAATGAAAAGGCCACAAAAATACCCCAAACAAATATTTGATGGGCCAATTTTGATCTCACTAACCCAATACTGGAACTCCGAAATGTTTTCTTATATGCACATAATTTCCGATTACCTTAAACCTTCTTTCCAATAAAAAAAATGAAGCCTTTCGTTCAGATCAGACATTAAAATGGAGCAGTCTCACACGACCCTCGCTCCCTTAGAGAAATATTAAGGATTGTGAGCTTTTGCTAGTTGAATATTCCCAGATTCGGTTTGGACTGAAACATGTTAAGATACAAGAAATAACTATAGGGAAGCTCTACTAGAACAGAATACTTGTGGCTGTATGAAAACCAATGTTAATCTAACACACAGAAAGCTACAACATAATTCATCATTAAAACCATTGAATAAATTATAGCGAATGTACAAACAGCAACTTTTATAACTTACCTTATATATATATATATATTTTCCTTGCACATTATAAGACTGGAAACTAACTAAAACACAAAATCTGTAACAATACGCAGCCAAATGGCACAAATGAAACCAATTTGCAGCTTCCAGACTCACAGCTCTAGCAGCACCTGTATTGTCAAGTTGTCAGCTTCTTTTCACTACTCTTGCTCCGGAAGGGTGACAACAAAGAGAAAGTTCGGGAAGCTGCATCCATGAGAATAAATCCCTTGATTCTCATATGTATATTCATTAAAATCATATAAAGTTCATATGAACCTAAGAGAAGAGAAGAAAATAATGAATTGCACCAAGCTGTATGGGCAGTGAGCACTTACACTTTTGTGGAGCAGCAGCAGCAGTAGGGGTTTCCTCTTGAGAGATCAGAGTTTTCAATGTATGAACTGATGATGACAACAGAAGTTGACGGTTAGCCTACCGAGGATATGCAACTTCGATGATAATATAGTCACTATACAAAGGATATGCAACTATAGTTTATAAACTCTCATGGGCATCTAAATGCCCTCTTAAGAAATAAGCAACTTCGATAGTATCATAATCATTATAGAGAGTCAAAAGATTTTGGCATCGCTTGTCTACCTTTATTAAGAGCCTATGAGATTTTTCTTTCTTGCTAGTCATAAGTTACAATGGTAATCAGTTTTTGAAACAATTACGTCATATCTGAACATAGCAAAATTTTCCTGACAACAGTAGACAACTTCTTACTGCTGCATTTTCTTCAAAAAAAATTGGCTTTTCTGTAACATTGATGTGCACGTTAAATGATCTAGTGACCTGGCTAAGATTATACATTAGAAGATAGACCAGCAAATCAAGGTCTGATCATTATGTCCAAAACACATTGGACGCAGATAATGCAATATTGCTGATAATGCTTTTGGGTTAGATAAAGTAATATCATTTTTCAAATCTCTCATCGATATCTGTTGACCTGAAAGTCTAGAATAGATGCCAATGGCATGTTTCTTCAATTTGCTACTTGTATCTATTAGGCTTCACGACTATCAAGCATCATTTTGAATATCTTTGTTCATTAGAGTGCACTAGAATGGAAAATAATGTAAGTTACCTTCACTAGAGGAAGCCACATTTGTGACACCATCATCTGCCTCAGAACCATTGACACTGACATTGTCAGATTCACTGTTACGGTCGCTTGTAGCTGAGCTATGATTCTTTTTCCCAAACTTCAATAGTCGTCTAAAACCTTTTGATGATTCTTTAGTCTGAGGCCTATCCAACACTTCTGGAATCTTTTCTAGTTTCAAACTTTTAGAATCAGAAACATGATCTTTAACCATCTCTGTCCCTGTTGCTACAATCTGTATATTCGTTGGGGGTGCTTTTCCATACTCTGAATTACTAGTACATGGGTCTTCCAAAGAAGAGACCCGAGCAAAAGGGGCTTGATATGGTTTTTCAATACCACTGAAGCTTGAAAATTTTGGTAATTCCTTCTCTGAATTACCAGAGTTTCCTGTTGTCATCTAAAATAAAAAAAATTACCAAAGATAGTTAGATATATTAAGAATTGTTATATTGGTAGATGAAAAACAAAACTATCAAAACATCACCGCACAGCTGGTGAGACTGCAATTGCACATACAGGAGAAACTGAGAGGCTACTATGCTTAATTCCAGCAAGACAATCAAAAATTGAAATATTAACTCTGTCAGTTCCTGCAACTTGGAGAGATCTTTCATGCTGTTATAATTCTATCATATATGATAGCTTAAAACTTTAGAATCGGCAATAAAATTGTAATGTTTAACCTAATAACCAAGATTTTTAACCCTAATCATAACAACAGTGCAGAATAGCCGTGCATAAAACAATATGCTAAAAACAATATCACTCCAGATTTCCAAATGAAAATCAAGAGTAATGCTACATTTATACCATTCATTACACTATTTTCATTACACCATGATGTGGCATATGTTACATCCATACAAATTTTTAATATTATAATAAAATAATTATTAGTAAAATGGTCATGGTGTAATGGGTAGTGTAAATGTAGCATTACTCGAAAATCAATGTATACTCCTAATTTGCAAAATGCAAGATTTAGAATTTTAAGGGCAAATTACATCCAACAGAATTCATATATTGGATTAATGCTATTTTTCATTTATGCAGGTTTTATCAATCCTACCTCATATGAAGAGGGTTTCTCCTGTAATTGGTGTTCAATACATTCTTTATCAGCTCCATCAATGGTTAGTGGTGACACTGGTGCACGAATAGCAACATAATCTGACACCGCCTTATTTTTCTGAACCACATCCTTATCATTAGAGTGTCCCTTCTTAAACTCCATATTTTCTTCTCTTTTGTGTACAGAAGTGGATGGTTTCTCACATTCGAGCATCACAACAGTCTTCTCAATAACCAAATTGTCATCCCCATCACTATGATGCGAATTTTTGTCCTTATTCCTCTTCATTTCAGTGCCTTCAGAAGAGGTTGAAGATTTAGTTCCATTTACCTTCTGTGTCGATTCTTTTGCTGCTGATTTGCTATGGATAACATCAGTTTCTTTAGATTTTCTAACTTTTAGTTCTGGAAGAGAGGCAGCTTTGGTTTTATCATAGTTCACGATTGCCGATATTTTCTTAATCTCAGGCCCGTTAGATGATTTTGGCTTTGATGATAGTTCAGCGCTTCGTGGCTTCACTGAAGAAACATGTGGACTGCTAATTATTTTAGGCTCAGATAATCTTCTAATCCTGGCCATGGATACCTTTGTATCAGGTGTTACAGCAGTGTTTTCTTTCTTTGGCTCAGGCAATGATGACACTGACCGGGTTAACCTATTTCCATCAGAGTGGCTTCCATTATTCAATTTGCTGGGTTTAGAGGCTTTGGGCGAATCACTGGATCCTAAAGAAGCAGTTCTGACAGAGAACCTCCGTAGGGGCGATGATGGTCCAGGCTCTGAATCACTGAACTTTGAACCTTTATGAGCACTAGGAGAAAGTTTTGTAGGTAACTGTTTTCGGGTTTGCTGTGAGGGCAAAGGCGATTGAGCAGGAATTGAACTGCCTCTAGCAGCAATTCTCTTTTGCCTCTCTATCTTCAAAGCTTCCAAGCGTTTTAACTCTTCCTCTTCCTGAAAAGAACAATAACAACAAACAATAAGATGGACAAATTAGTGCATTCAATAAACCAGATGTGCCAGCTGGTAAAGAAGACTTGAAGTCATGCTAAATAGAAAATACAGCTTATTTAACGCTAGTAGCAATACAAACTGGATGGTTATTTGTAGTCAAAATCACTGGCCAGTTTGCTAGAAGTGTTCAAGTGTTCAAGTTTTCAATCTTGAGCTAGGTGTTCAAAATATGGTTAGTTAAGTACCTTCTGTTTCTTCATTTTCTGCAGATCAGCTTTATAGGCTCTTAGTTTCTCAGCACGCGCTCTTGCTTCGTCCAGAGGACTCAACTTTGAAGGCTTTCCTTTCCTTATTGGTCCTACACTCTTCTTCTTATCTGAAGTATCCATAAGTTTTGTTCTCCGGTCCTTGTCTAACTTTTTGGACCCTTGCTTGGCATCAGTCACAGCCTCCTTATTTTTCTTATTCAGTGAAGCACCATCTTCGACATTAGCTTGCAATTCATAATCTAAGGCAGGATCGTAACCAGATGATCCTTTTTCTGCTCCACGCTCAGGCATCAAACTTAATTCATCTGGTTCATAACTGACTTGGTTTCCAACCCTATTAGACTTGTTCTCTGTCATCTGATTTGATGATGGGAACTCAGAAGCCAAGTCAATAGCATTTCTTCCATCAGTTCCAACTTGATCTTGTGAAGCTGACCTCAATGGTACTATGTAGGAATCATCATCCATGTTATGTGATGACCTTCTATCGAAATCATTAGTTGCTCGCTCAAATCCATTAACAAACAGTGGATCAGATGGAGAATTCGTAAAACCTGATTGATTTTCCAGTCTACGAATCAAAAAATCTTCATTTGTGGTCCTCCTATATGCCCCCCTCCTGCCATTCATTTCTGTGGACTCTACATCCATTTGACCATCTATGAACCTTCTACTATCACCAGACTGATCCACTCTTCCAGAGTTCAATAATTCATCTCTTGACCCCTTAGGCCTGCGAGCTATATTTCCACTAATTTTATGCATATCGGTAATATTCCCTTGGTGATACTCACCCATATCTCGACCACTTGAAACTAAAGGATCATCACCAGCTGTACTCTGCCGCTGCCTTGCTCGAACCCCCTTTTCCATTGCAAACATGCCTTGGTCAACACCACGTTCCTCTTCATCGGCATCTCTAAGTATAAAATTTTGAAATGCTTGCCACTGTCCACCTTCTTCATCCTTCCTATTAACTGTCCCTTGCATGTCAGCATTCATAGATGATATATGACTCTCTTTTCTTTTTGAAGATCTCAAACTGCTTTTGTGCTTCGTCTCTTGAGCACTGCCTTGTATATCTCCATCTTCATCATCAGTTTCAGAGTTTGAAGCTGATTGTGATTCACTATCCGAAGCAGCTTGCCCCTTTGAAGTTATGTAATTAATGTTCCGAATGACTACCATGCCAGGTTGCTTTTTACTGGATCGGCTAGCCTTCTTTCTTGAAGTTTGTTTCTCCAGTTCTGCATCATCCTGAGATATTGCTTTAGGACCATCTGTCTCCCAGGTTTCTGATTCACTACCAGTGTCTCTACCATCCATGGAATGCCTTCTCTGCCCCATTCTTTGGCCAGCATTACGTTTAGGATCCTCAGCTGATGGATAAGGTAGCTGAAAATATGGGCTATTTGCTGGATAATTTTGATAGTAAGGCATGCCTGGCATGGGATACCCTTGAAAAACTGGTAGTGCACCAGGTGGAGAATGAATTGGCCATGGAGGGAACAAATGGTGTGGATACTGCCCTTGAAATTGTTCTTGAGTATTGGGTGACTGGTGATCCATTGGAGGCTTCTCATCTGGCATAAAAAATTTCCAACTCAACTTTTAAAGATAAAAAAACATGAATAGAATGAGACATAACCAAAACATCTGAAGACATCAGTTATACTAATAGAAAGCCATAGTCAAAAGGCCATTGATAAAATGCTGGAGGCAGATCTTTTATGAAAAATAAAAGTTGCAACAAGACATCCATATCTATGTCTCCATATCTGTCTTATAGTATTTGCTTGAAAGCCACCTTTTAAGTCCCTAGACCTATTTCACAGTTCTATTCCCCTTTAGTGCCAAATGAACACCTCTTGTTTATTTCTGACACTAAAAATCCACCTGAGTGCCTCCTTTATATTTAGATAAAAGCTTCTTAAAAGATATTATTTAAAAATAAAAAACAAAGAAAACAGAATGGAGTTTGCAGCAAGAACCCTTCTATATGATGAATTTAGAACTAAAGCAATTATGAGATTAGGTGTCCAAGGGCAAAACAATTTCTGGATATTTGTATTTTGATTTAAAAAAAAAAAAAAAAAAAAAAAAAAACACATATTTTGTCTTTTCATGCTGAGGGAACCAGCTAGAGCTTCTCTTTTTCCATTTTTGGTTGGGGAGGAGGGGAAGGGAACGCTAACCAAAAATAAGAATATGCTCAAACTTCAGGCAACCATGAGTAGTGAAAATGTGCCTTTAAAGAAAAACTGTTTAGTTATTTATATTAGGAGATACAAATGAGCAAATCAGAGTATCTATTATTCCACCCAAATTTTATATTTGGTGTGAAACCAATGTGCTAATCTCATATTTCTAGTTAATGACACCTAAATTTCATCATGTTCTCAGCATTAACAGTCACTGAATGGCTTCTTCAACCACAATCTTTATGTTCATTACACATAAGCATGCAAAAAACCAGTAGAACAGTTCCTCATTTCCGGAAAAGGAAACTGATGGATGAGGGGAAGTTATTAAACGAAAAACATGGAGATCCATAATGAAATATTATTTACGCAGCAATGCTGATAAAGGAATTTTTCATGTGATTACTCTTATATTTTGCATGCATACCTGCATTTGCACCAATGCTTGCTCCGCCGTTATTTTCAGCAGTTTCACTGAATTCTTTCTGCTTATTGATCACATTAGAAAGCATAATGCCTGATGCATTCATAGCAGAAAAATCTGATTGGTTAGACATTGCCTCAGCTTCTTCAATTTCAACCCACTGTCCAGTCTCATGCTTTCTTTTCCATAATTCCATAAATCTTACACAAGCATCCCTGCAGCATTAATTCATGCAACTTAATCAGGAAAATTATCTCGAAGCAATAATTATCCTTCCACAGGTTAATTATTGAAGGTCAAAATTTCAAGGAAATTCTGTTTACTTCAAACGTGACGCCCCAAAGCTTTCTGCAAACAACATCAGAGGCGCCATGTGATCAACGTCAAAACCTGCAGCTACAGCACGTGCAAAGGCCATGCCTTGCTCCTTCTGTAATGCAGTTTTCCGCGTCTCTAGGACTTTCAATAGCTGGACTCTGATGAACATTCATCAGACAAAGTAGGCAATTAACACCACGAAAATGCCAATGTATATATGAATGAAAATTAAAACAAAGTGAATTAATAACTTGTGGACAAGGAAAAACAATTTTCCCTCCTGTCTGATATGCTGCTTTTGATATGGCTACTGAAAAAGTACTCCAGTTTATTTTATTGAATTTGACATGGCTACTAAGCTTAAATTTTCATGTTGAGAATCGTAATAGATAATTGAAGAAAATGAATCTCCTTGGAATGGGTGTACTTTGATAAATAAAGAAAGAGTAAGAGAGAAAGCATTTGATTATTAGGGTGGCTTTAGTAGCACATATAACAGCTCAGCTATCCTTCTGACATCTCTGCTTTACTAGAACTTCCAAAAAAATGCATTGAAGCTTGTCAGGTTTAAAATGACCAGTGAAAAGTTCACAATCTCCCATGTATAACCCTTTCAATAAACATTTGCTTTGACAACAATATTGTAACTCATGGTAGTGATTGAACATACTTTGAACTGCCCTCCTGGGCAGCAGACCCATTTGCTTCAGGCGGACGTTCTCCAGGCTGCAAGAATTCCAAGAAAGGAGAAGAGGGGAAAGGAAGAAATATCAAACAAATGCAACGAAGGAAATAATATATGATGAGGTACAATTAATTCCTAATTACCTTGTAGAGGACAATGGCTTTCTCCTCATTAGAGTCCAGCAACGGGCGGCTACCTGTCAAATATGTGGCATGAGTAAGTAAAACCAATATCAAACTGATCAAAGCTGGGACAAATAGTTCTGCAGCATAATTTATAAAAACCAAAAGAAAAAAAGAAGGAAACTTTCAACATCTAGTTCTCAGAATATAAACTTGAACAGTACACTGCAGAGTAAAAACTTCTGTTGATTTGACTAAAAACAATAGAATGGAACAAAAAGATAAAAGAGTAATAAAAGATATTCAGAAACAGAAGTAATGAAATTAACACCAAGATCCAAAGTATCCTTCATTATACTTCAGAAATTTTTTTTTTTTTTTTTGGGTGGAGAGATAACTTAGAAATCCCTCAGTGCACCAGGTTCAAACTGCGGACCATGAACATTATAGTAAGATATATATATCCTATTTTACAGTACCTTCAATGCTTTCCACAGGTTTAGCTGGAATTTCTTCTACCTGTCCCACAAAAGAGTGAAAATAAATGAATTTCTGATCCAGTGTATACATAGATATTGAAAATCAGAGAATTTTACTCACGGTACTCAGCCCTATCTCATTGTTGCTTTGAATCGCAATTGCCTCCTCAATCTGCAAGATCTCAGATTCTATTGTATAAACTCGCTCCAAGACCTCTGGAGTGCTCACAAAGCGAACAAACCTAGAAAAAACAAAATATAATAGACTCTCATATCAAATTCTGGCATAATAAAGTCAATGTAGCACCAATTTGACTCCAAAAATTCTAAAAGAGTGACAAATTCAGCACTCAGAGCACATACAACTGCAAATTCAATGACCAGTTCAGAAATGAATGTAGCTCACACCGAGAACTCTACTAGTTGAGAGAGACATAAACTGTTTTTTCCTTTTTTCTTTTTTCTCATAGGAGAGAGACATCAACTATTAAAGCACATAAATCAGTTGAGTAAACTCAAATATTATTTGGTATTCGTTGGATGGTCCTTGATAATTATAAAAATCCCAAAAGACAGTCAAGGGTCATTTCCATGGTGATCTCTGATACATAATAGTCATGTAACTGATACCCTACGTGCCACCAATAAAACTATAGCTGATAGAAGATGTTGTTTTAAAAAATGAATAAAATACGGTAGATTCCTTCTGCTTTAATCCCGGTTGTTGAAATTAAAAGAGAAATTTCTTGAGCAGTCTGCAAGACAATACAAACCTTTCGACGGTTCCCTTTGTGAACCATGTTGCATCAGTGCCAGACTCTGGCTGGAGCACAATCGAATAACCCCCCTTGGCCATCTGTTCCTGTGCAGTCTTTAAGTGGGCAAGAAATGGATTCAGCAATCCTGTAGCCATTTTCTCCATCTTCCCGTTGGCAGATATCACCAAATCACATCTGAAAACATAAAAGTCAAAGTTTAGGTTCGCTTGGTGGAAATAGCAAAGGAAAATTACAAGTGAATTTGCAAATTGATTTTATATCAAAATTACACTCTGAGAATCATATAAAAAATTATACGCACAAAGGGAACAAGCATCAGAAGGCTATTATATGCGTTTTTTTATCCATCATTCAAAAAAATTAAAAATTAAAATAAAACGCAAAGAAGAAATCTGTCTCAAGTAAACTAATTTGATTTCTAACTTTAATCAAGATTGACCAGCAAATCCACTCAATAATTCACAAAAAGGGCACCGGTCTTTCAAGATTCATAACCAATGCTTCAACTACAATAACAAAACAAACTTACATTACAAAGAAATGCAAATTTACATAACCAACAAAATTAAAAACAACAATAGAAACAATAAAGTAAAATTATTAATTAGAGAACACCAACCCACAACTCAGATCATTCCCTGAAACAAAATTTATCGTTTCATATACAAAGTCTTAAATCATTCTTTCGAATGAACAATTTTACCGAATAATAGATGAATAAACAAGCCACAATTCAATAACAAAAGTAAATTTGAATAATTTACCTCGTCCGAGTTGGAGTGAGCTGAAACAGAGCTGACTCAAGCCGAGTTGACGACTTCATTGTCAACAAAAACCGATCTTCAACACCAAGATCAACAAATCAACCAAAAAATAAAAAACCCACAAACGAAAAATGATTTATGAATAAACTAGTTCACTCTCGGGTCATAAATAGCTTTCCCTCTCCACCTTTCCCATCATGGAAAAAGCTCAGAGTTCTGCACACAGAAAAAGGTTTTGCAGAGAAACCCACACAAGAGGAAAGTGTTTGAGAGAGAGAGAGAGAGAGAGAGTGTGTGTGTGTAAAAGCCTTCAAGAGAGAGAGGGAAAGGATCCAAAGATTGTTGCGTTGTTGGTCCTACGATGCTATTTGCTTTACCAACTGGAGAGAACTGGGAGAGAGTAGAGACAGAGTGAATGAAAACTATTTTTGTATTATCACGTTGTTCATTTTTCGTCATGCCTCATGTAATTAAGTGGAAAAATGAGGGGTAAAATAGGAACTCAGAGTAAAGTCAAGAGAACATTATGGGAAATGATGTAACGTGAAGACAAACAACTGACAGTAATGTTGTTAAGATTAGTTTTGAAATTACGAGAATGGTGTTATAGTTATATATTCCCAACGGTAACATTAGTGCTATTCCCACGTGTGGAGTTGGTAATGGAGGGTTATTGAATTTGATTACATCAGTTTAAACAAGCTTTGTTGACCAATAATTACCTACTATTTTCCCTTTCCCAAACAAGTCACTCCAAAAATTATTTGTGTGATAAATAATACTATTACATGTAAATTGTGACATTTTTACATCAAACATAAATAACTCATTTTTCAAATGTTACATTTGGATTATCATTTTAAAGGTGATTAATATTGTCTTGTAAATTGGATTAGTCCAAACTCTCTCTTTCTCTCTCTCTTTTTTTTTTTTTAATAACCGAGGTGTTTGAGATGGCTTATGTACACCTTAACTAATCACCCGAAACCTTAAAACTATCGATCAAGTAAAAGTTCAAGTGACTATCTCTATTAGCAACGGAAGAGATACTCGAACTCAAGATTTCTTGAATAATATATCTAAAAGTCTCTATAGAACCACTTGACTATTTAGAGACACTTGATTAGTCCAAATTCCATCCAACCATTTGTTCAACTACTAAGACAAAAATTAACAGTTTATACAATGTAAATTTAAAATGTGATAAGCATGAATACTTGATGGGATAAAAAGGGACCCCAGAAAGCTCTACAAATCAGGTAGGATTAATCCTGTTAATCGGGTCAAACAATAACTAAGACAAGCAAATCGTGTTGTTTTTTAAGCCATCAAATTAGCCCTTGACTTGACGCAATCCTTTAGTTATCGTGACAAAATTTTACAAAAATTTCTCATATATTAAAATACATATACTCAAACCCAATGGATTGGCCTAATAATTAAAAAAATTAATTCTTTTCTTTGAGTTTCTAGGTTTAAACATGAGGGTCACCTACCATAATAATATTGTAGTTACTTGATCATTTAAATTTATAAGGTGTTTAATAGACGTTGAAGATTAATTACAATACGTATAAACTGTCTAAATACTTCGTTATCCAAAAAAAAAGAATGCATATACACTAAGAGATTTTATAATAATTTAAATTTATATGGTGAATTTGATTGTAATTTACAGGTAATTATGGTTTGAATATGGCATGTGATTGGGGTATAATTAGATTCCATGGATAAGAGTAAGACTCATTATTGGTGAAAGATTAAAGAAAGGAGAGCCATGGAATGTGCGTCTACCTTTTTTTTTTTTTTAATCTGATTTTAGCCAACCGAATGCTGGAATTTCATCTCATATTTATTACAAGTCTTTTCATCCTCTGAAATTATTTTAATGATGAAGAAAAAAAAAAAAAAAAAAGTCGAAAGTTTGTGACGAAGAAAAAGGTATTTTACTCAATATCCAATACACGATTAGTAACAGTAAAGGCAAAACTTCCACCAATTCATTAAGAAAAAACAACTTTCGTATAATATAATGCGAATTTTGAGGTTTAATATTTAAGAAAAAGCAAACCACACTACTTATAAATTAATTTAGATAATCTTATATTCCACTCTCATAAGGTATTTAAAAAAAAATTCCATAAAAATAATAATAACAACTACACCTTTCCATATGCTTCAAGAATCAATTGCTTGATTAGAAAAATAAAGATATTGCCTAAATTAACTATAAATTCAAGTCACATCAACGTTTAAGTCGATGAAGTGATGGTTTTTCCATGCCCATAAAAAAAAGATATATTTCAACATCCTTGACTATTTCAAAAATAAAAATGCAAAGAATAATGTTATTAAGTATCTCAAACTTTATATTTTACATAATGTATCATTGTAACAGAGAGATTTATATATAAGTAAAAAATAATTGAATTTATTTAATATACAAGAAGATTTGAGGTCTTGTTTATCTTAGTTATTATCATTAATTACTACCCCACTGAGATTTGTTTTGGGGGAAGAAACTTGGTGAGGATGACTTGGCCCCATTTATGTACATAAAGTTACTTAAAAGATCAGAAGTCCTATATTAAATTATGGCATACCCTTTTTTAAGATACTCATTAAAGCAATGAATAGTAGAGTGCATGACTTTTTTCCATCCAAATAATAGTCTAATAACACTTTCTCACTCAAAACTCTTCAATATAAGACTTTACCATCCAAAACATAAAATTCCATTGTGAAGAATGGCGGGATGGTCAAAAATCTATTATAAGTAAGGGTAGGATGGTACACTCACCTTCCATCATTTGTCGGACACCATACAGTTAGGGTTTCACTTTTTAGGCCAAATTTCGGCTATTTCTAATGGCCGAAATTCAATCTAACACCATCACCTAAATCACCGACCTCCACTCTATAAAACTCCTCTACCCTGACACTTTTTAGCCCCCCATTCGTTAGTTGTGACTCTGCATACTGTCGCGATTAGGTTGATTTTATCTAGCCAAATTGGTTTCGATTTGATAATTTTTGAAATTGATTTGCAGTCTCTGGTTGTTTGGTGCTTATTTGGATTTGTTTTCTGGGTTGTCTCCCTTGTCGACCCTCATTGCTCACCTTTCGATATCGATTAAAATACTCCTCTTCATAGGGTTTTGTTCAAAGTTGTTAGATGAATTGGGGTTGGTTTGTTGGAATTTTGTGATTGTATTGTTGGTTGATGATTAAGGAAGCTTTTTTGAAGTGCTTGTGGTTGTGTTGTTGATTTTCTTGTTGTCGGTGCTCCCCACAGCTCTCACTTCCCACCGTTTTCCAAAGTGCACACAAAGTGTCCAACAAAAAGAGGCAATTAGCACCTATCCACAAGTGCACACACCTGTGCGCACACATAGCCTCCTGCGTGCGCCAACGCCATGCTCCTGCCCCTGTAGGCAATTTACGAGCTTCTCGTAAACCTTCTCCTAGTTGCCACCACCCATTCCATTGCCCATAAACACCTTCACAACAACCTGTAAACCACCCCAATCTTCTTTTCACCCCAAAACATGCCCTCACTCGCCATTTTGCCGCAACAAGACAGTCACGTTTACGACCCAATCCCAGTTTTCTTGGTGTTTTTTTTTTTTTTTTTTTTGGTGTTAAATGTGATTGTTGTTTGAAGTGTTGTGTTGCTAATGTGTTGTATCTTTTTGGATGCCGACCGTCCCCATCTCTCCAACCTTGCTATTCATCCACGCACACCACATGTTCAACCCTTACCCTAAATGGCGTCGGTGATGAAGAGTGATTACAGTGGGGTGAGAGGGTTTTGGTGGGGGGATGCCGGTGAGTTGAATAGTGGTGTTGGGTTGATTTTTGATTCCAAAAAAAAGGTGATTTTAAGCGTAGCAATCGGGATTAGCTAGACTTGGGCCGTGACATTTTATTTATTATGGGCCTCGTAGGCCTAGACAATTTTTTGCCCATACAAGGGTGAGAGGGGTTTTGGTGGTGGGATTTGGTGAGTTGAATGGTGGTGATGGGGTTGATTTTCGATTCCGAAAACAATGGAATTTGGGCTGAGACGCTTAAACTTTGATCTATGCGGTGGTCGACGATTGGAGGTTCATCTTTGGTAGGGTGTTTTTGTTTTACAAAGGTATATTTATTTAATGAAAATTTATTAACGGAACTAAGGTTTGGTAATGAAGTTATATTTTGAATATTGATGGAAAAGTATCATTAGACCATTATTTGGGTAGGAGAAAGTGGTTTACTTTGAAAGCATTTGTTTATTTTGGGTTTTTTTTTTTTAAATCAATTTTGGTCCACCTCTACCACCCAATTAGTGCTATTTCCATTTCACCAACACAATGTTTACTTCTTTATATATGTAATATATTTTCATACTTATTTATGTGAACATTGACAACATGAGAGGACAAGATCTCTCGATCTTGCTTATGTTGGCAACATTACATGCGCTTTCCAAGGCGTGTTATTCCATATTTTCAATTTTGTATACATATAAAATTTTATATTCAACATTATTTTGTAAATTGTATTTAGAAAGTTAAAAGGTCATTTGAGCTTATGGTGTTGAGAAAATGTAGTAACTAGTATCAAATTTGATGTCGTCGAAAACAAATTCAATAATCAGACACTTCTTTAAATTTATGTAATTTATAGAGTATGATTAACAATTTAAAAAAAAAAAAATTAAAGATCCAATCATGTAACAATTGAAAAAATAATGGACAATTAGGCACAGGTTGGTGTAGATAATGAAAAATAAGATTTGAAGAGAGAATTTAATATATGTTTCTGTTTTGTCTACCAAGAAACAGTATATGGTGTTGGGCATGTTTGTATTATTATTAATTATTTATTATACTATCTTTTCTTCAAGGAATTAAAGATATATTTCCTAATGTTTAATGTAAGGAGCGTTTTCATATTATCGATGATATGTTTTAAAGTATTTAATATTTATTTCTTACTTTTTCATTCCACAATCAAAAGTAATTTTTACAAAATTACAGAGTTTATGTGTTTTGAGTGATCATAATTCATACATCATACACTTGTATGTATATATATACAGGTGTTTAAAACAATCTAATCAGCACAGTTTACTTTACTTTTATGTTATTTTTTAAATATTAATCATGAACTTGCCTCATCTATATATATACTTGGTTTTTTAAGTAGCATGGTGGTAGCGCCATTGTGTGGTCAAACGTATTAGACATGGACAGGGCGACTTCATTTTTGGCTTTCAGTTTAGGGGTTTCATCCAAATTTGCCTCTTTCCTTCTGCTCCTGCTCCTTTTTTTTTTTTTTTTTTTTTTTTTGATATGTGGTGTTTTGGCCAATTTGTATGCATCTCGACTAATCTTAAAAACTTATTAAT